ATCAGAACTCTACCCTTGGCATCAAATCTAGAGTTAATCACTTAAAAACTGAATAAATTATCTGAATATTCTCTCAGAATTTGGACAATAGGTATGCAAATGCTACTTTTTTTTTTCCACAAGAAAATGGTATAACTAAGTCCAGTCCTAAATAGAGGATCTAATAGAGTATGGTTTTACAGACCAATAACAATTTATCAAAAATGTTCACTGAATGTAAATAGAAGGTTTCTTACTTTCCTTGGTCCTCCTCCCATTTACAGTGAGGACAATAAAATCATAAGGTTACAACTTATGGTATGTTAAGCCTTTTTCCTGGGTAGTTAGGCAGTTTATTCTATTATGAACACTTGTCCAGTATTATAGACATAAAATACAGATGTACATATAATCATTTCTCCTATTGAATCTGCTGCTTGACAAAACTTTTGGTCCGTTACTTCAAATTTCCTTTTGCTTTCTTTAGCTTCTCACATGATCTTTGTGTTTCTGGGCAATCTTAAGGCTCAAGTGTGTAATTACAGAACAGAAGGCTGCTAGGAAACTTTCCTGTAAAAAACCTGCTGCAATCATGGTGATAAAAATATAATCTGAATAATATATTTTCAGTTCTGTATGACTTCCAGTAATGGCTCTCATAGGCACTAGATATCTTCTTTCCCAGTACTACTAGTTGGCAGGGAGGCTTTTATTTTTCTTCTTTCCATTGCTAGAGAAAACTTGATGATTACTGTTGTTCATTTTTCTCTCTGCTTATTTTAACCACCATTAGAATCTAAATTAAACAGCTTCTCCATCCACAAATTCTCCCATCTGGAAATGACTGAACTTGTCTTCCATATGACATAAGACCATATGATTGTCTTTCTTGTCTTATCTAAGTTGTTTGTTTTTTTTTTTTTTATTAATGTGCAGGATCGTGTGATTTCACCTATCAATTTTCCCCCCACTTTCAGTCTGCACTGATTTTTGCTCAGTTAAATATGTTGTTGTTTATTGTCATCTAATTTACACCTCATGGGCTACAAATGTATACTCAAATCACTGATGTTTATTTTCCTCAGGTGATGTAAAGTAAATGTGTCTGCAGTGGGTGCTGACTTAAGGGTAATATGCATTCCTGTTCACAGCATGAATTAGAAGCTGACCTGAAGGGAAAATGTGGAAACTGAGTATTTCATATCTGGTGATACTGGCACCAGAAGAATGATGGGGAATCTTAAGAAGTTTTGTCTTATCTTAAATTCGATATAATATGATGTCCCACACAACATCCTTGTCTCTAAACAGGAGAGACATGAATTTGACGGATGGACCGCTTGATGGATAAAGAACTGGCTGGATGGTCGCACTCAGAGCGTGGTGGTCAACGGTTCAGTGCCTGAGTGGAGACCTGTAATGGGCGACATTCCTCAGGGGTCGGTGTTGGGACCTGTGCTGTTTAACATGTTTTGTCAGTCACATGGATTATGGCATCGAGTGCACCTTCAGCAAATTTGCTGATGACACCAAGCTGTGTGGTGCGGTTGACATGCTGGAGGGAAGGGATGCCATCCAGAGGGACCTGGATTGGCTGGAAAGTTGGGCCACTGCCAACCTCATG